AATACATATCCCAATAAGCTTACAATTGAGAAAAATCCCTTGAGGCTTGATCAGTGCTTCTATGAAAACAAGCGAACACACAAGGCACAAGCTCTTCTCTGCTCATGATTTGGAGCTGCCACTGCAGGATCTTAGGGTCTCCTTCTCCAACTTTGGGGCTGTTCATTGCCACAGTAATTTCTTGTTTAATTTCTGTTCTTCACACCTGTCTGTAAACTCCAATGCTGTTCATTATTTCCCTCACATCTCATGTGGTTCTGGCACATACAAAGCCCTCAGTAAGTTACTTGCTGCATGAGTGAATGAGTTAGACAAGACAAAACATGGATCCTCGCTCCACAAACCAAACTAAACCGTGAGGCATAGAAATGCACCAAAAATGTAAATCATAATTTTCCCAAGTGTGGGGAACAAATTTATGTTTCAAAATTCAATTTTTCTTATTTTTAAATATTGCTTTGTTCAGCACAAGTTATTTTTATGTTCACTAAAATGATTTATTTTAAAAATCTTGATGTAATGGTGGATATTATATTGTTATTTTATGAGAATCTTATAGAACTATTATTCCAAAAGTGAATGGAATCATATGATTCAGGAATAATTTAGGGACAAATTAAGTGTGTATCTCCACCTGTACTTTATAAAAAAGCCCACAGCTGTGCTGAGAGCTCAGGTGACTGCTGTCAGATCTGGGTTCCACATCTCTTAACCTGGCATGTGAGGCCCTTTATCCTTGGGCTGAAAGGTCCATTCTCTGGTCCCTCCCCCTTCCTTTCTCCTAGCGGTGTTTTGGCCTGGGCTGCCCTTAAGTGGCCAGGGCCCTAACTCTGGGTTCAGACGCTCTGTGTCCTCTGTCAAGACTGAGCTCTGCCTTATGCTCCCCACACCTCTCCTCTGGTCTTTCTGGTGTTAGCCTGGATGGGAGGGAATACACACTACAGTCTGGTCCCTAAGGAAGTCTTACCCAAGCCTCTGCCCATCCAGGACAACAATAAACCACTCCATCTGTAACCCAACCCTTCTGTTAAGAGTTGACTTATGTCTCCCCTCTTTCCACCCCCTTTCATATCTCAGAATGTGACTGTATTTTGAGGAGAGGGCCTTTAAAAAGGCAACTGAAACTTTGATTGGGCAAAGGGGAGGGAGGGATGGGGAGGGGAAATGGGGGCAAGAAAGATGGTGGAATGAGATGGACGTCATTACCCTATGCACATGTATGACTGCACATATGGTGTAACCTACATCGTGTACAACCAGAGAAATGAAAAGTTGTGCTGCGATTGTGTACATGAACCAAATGCATTCTAACCTAATTAAATTAAAATAAATAAATAAAACCCCACCAAATCTACTTAAAAAAAAAGGCCACTGATATTAAACGAGGCCATGAGGATGGGCCCTAAATCAATCTGACTGGTGTCCTTATAAGAAGAGAAACTTTATACACTCAAAAGAAATACCAGGGATATATGAACACAGGAAAGGCCAGGTGAGGACACAGCGAGAAGGGAGCCATCTTTAGGCCAAGGAGAAAGGCCTTGGCAGTAGTCAAACCTGCCAATACTTTGATCTCAGACTTCTAACTACTAAAACTGTGAGAAAATAAGTTTCTGTTGCTTAAGGCATCCAGTCTGTGGCATTTTGTTGTGGCGGCCTAGAATAATAACACACCTCTCCAGGCCTGTCTCTTTCCATTCCTGGAAGTGTGGTTCTGCACCATGACCCAAGCAGGCTGTGGAGAGGAGATGTTGCTGGGCCTGGCTTCTGCTGTGTTCCTTGGAGAGAAGCAAGCCAAGGAGAGCACACAACCTGGACACAGAGGAGCAGGGCATGAGTCTATGTAGGCAGAGGGCAGGGCCAAGCAAGACCAGGATGGTCTGAGGCTGGAGCTATGGCAATAGGCAAGGTGTGTGCCTTCTCTTTTGTCAGTGGTGAGTTCTGTCAATTTGGACCCTATTCAGATTTTGGCTATTGAACTAGTCAGGTGAACTTTCCTTTACCTATTAAGCAACAAATAATTTGATGAAGATCATGCCATGGTTGAGTGGGACTCAGATATATTTAGCTCAGCAAACTATTTTCAGGCAATCTGTCTGTCCTGGGGCAGTTATCTGACCTCTTCCTACCTTGTTTTTTTCCAGGTGTAATGTGGGGAGGTAACCCTTCACCTTCCCTCATAATGAATGATTAAGAATTATTATCCTTGGAGGTGGGAAAGGGGAAGAAGAGACATTCTCAATGGCTAACTTTGGCTCAGGTTTCTAGGTGTCTCCTCCCTGGGAAAGCACCTAAGGTTACAGGTTCAGCTTTAGGAAATTCCTTCTAGCTCCATTATAACTTCCCACCTTTTGTTTGACTGTCCAGCCCCGTGTTGGAACTCTTCTGGGAATCCTTCCCTTGGCCTACCCTCATGAATGCTGAGGGCTTGTTTGGAATACTTTCTTTTGCTCCAAGGTTTTCTTCTGAATACTAAGAGATCCACTAACTTGATTTCTTGCTCTATACCAAGGGTGCAGTACCCCAAACTTCCAAGGTGGCTGGCCAGATAAGCCCTTGGGCCCTAGACTTATAACCACAAGGCTCCAGTACTATAACCAAATTAGGTCTTTCCTCAGAACCACTATGATGTACACATCCTTGTCCCTGCAAATGGGATCTAGTCCAAATGAAAATAGGTCCGTGGGCCACAGAAACCATGTGAACTGGAAGGACCATTGATGGTTGCTAAAATCATCAGGATCCAATGTGGGAGAAGAAGGGAAAAACTCCTTTTGCCCAACCAGGTACAGTTTCTGCTATTCTCCTTTTCCCAAAGCCATAGGGCCAGGATGGTACAGCTATTTCAGCCATTTTTAGGAATGCATCAAAAAATAACAAGTAAGTAGGCAGTGTTTCCATGGGTAGACACACAAAAACATTCCAATCCTAACCAACTGGCTTATTTAATTGCTCATAGATGCTCCAATACTGTTTATTTTGAGTAAGACAAGAACACAGCAGTTACTAGGTGAGCAGATGTCAATATGACCATAATCAACATATCTCTGCTTACAGGTGCCTCTAAAGTCACAAACTCCAGTTAATGACCCTTACCTGCTGCTTGTGATTAATGTAAACTCCAAGTTCTACCAGTTTCCACCAAGAGACCATACCTAGATGACATGCTTCCTCTGCCTCATGTTTAAAAACACTCGGTTCTGGGCTACCAAAGTCTTGTCTTTGGAATCTCCAGAAAATATAAGTTACCCATCAGCTAAACCTGTCTCATAAAGAGAAGTTAAGAATGGGGGTTGGAGGCAGGGGACTGCCATTTCTTGAATACCTATCCTGTGTTCTGGAGGCAGCAGCTTACAGGCTCAATGACCAGCAAGGGGTGAAAGCCACCAGCCTCTCTGATCTTGCTTTGTTACAGGTTTTTCCTGTCAAACATATGTGGGACCATGCCGTCCTAAAGGACTAGACTAAAAATCGGGCCCCTATACCCATGCTAGTGCACCAAACCTGCCTCAAGTGGCAAAGTGGCAGCCAAAAGTTCATCCCAAAATCTCTCAAACAAGTGCAAAAGTAACTGAAGTAAAATACTAAGAGTTGAATATGTGGATGTTCTTTATAGAATTCTTTCAAAGGTTTTGCGTTTATCTATTTTCTTAATAAAATATTGAAAACAATTTTAAAAACAAATGAAGCACTACACAAAGATGAACACATCAAACACAAGCAGATAACCTCTGTCTCCCAAAGCAAGAGCTTTTCAGATGCTTCTAATCAATTCACTTTGATTTCCAGGGTGATAATAACCATGGCCCACAGCAAATATGAGGCATTTAATACTTTAAGAATGGTGATTGTCACAGAGGGTCAAGTGCCACCCACTCAACTCAACCCCATTTCAGAAGGTGGGAACACTGAAAGCAGAAACCCAAAGCTTGACAACTGCCCCCTCCCCTGCCACCACTGCTTCCAGTCTCAGGCAGATGGCAGGGGAATTAAGTCTGCTGCAGGAGAGACCACAAGGCCCACAGCACAGGAGGGCAGTGAGCAGATTAAGCCCTGATCCTCTGCCCCTAAAAATCCCCTGACCCATTTCCCAGTCGGGAAAGGAAACTGCTGTGGTAAGACAAGCAGAGGGACAGAGAGGCTCTGGCCAACACAAGCAGTGTCAACAAGTGCTCTTTTTCCCCCCCCTGGAGGGGATAACCAATAGGAACAACGAAGTAAGAGTGATAAGGGGCATCAGAGGACATATGTGCATTAACAGGAAGCCACGTGGGTAAAGTGTCAACCACATGTGCTTTACTTATATAAAAATAAAATTCCATTCTCCCTCTATACTCCCCAGCCTAGGTTCCAACAGCATGGACTCGTCCCCGTCCAATGCAGCCATAGAGATAATTCAAACCGTCAAACGGGTGGTTTCCAGAAAGATCACTTAGAGGCTACCTTGAGGCCGTGCACCTGGGCACAAGGAACAATGGGTACAGTGAACGGGCCATGCCCTGAGTACCAGCCTGGAAGAACAAACCGTTCCCTTCTGTGAAGAAGGGAGAAACTGGGGCATCAGGAGTCCTGCAAAGTTAAAGTCTGGGCAGTCCAGACGAGCTGTGCCAGAAACGAGGCTTCCTAAGGACTGTGCAAGCAGGAATTCGGGGACTTGTGCTCCTCTACTAGAGGGCCCTGAGCTAGTTCCTGAGCCTCCACAGGGTGGGCTCCTCTGGCCCCGCGGCCGGCCCGGCTCTTGGAACTGGTGTTTGGGGTTTGTCTTTCTCACTAATCACTGGGGAAGCCTAAGTTCCAAGACCAGCTCACAGAGGCCAGGGGTGACTTCTGGGCCCGCTGAGCAGGAGCGGAGTCTGTGGTAGAGTCTGTGGGGGAACCGGGATGGGCGGGGACAGTAATGGCAACAGGTGACAAGCTGCGCCAGGAGTGAACCTCTCCGCTCCCGGATCGTGAGCGGTCCCAGCGCCCCCAAAGTCCAGCAGGTCTCCCGCGGCACTTACGCGGTCTTGGGTCCACCGCCGCGCAGAACCGAAACTTTCTGGGGCCAAGCGGAAGAGCGCGCGGGCGCTAGCGCGGTGCCAGCAGCCATGACGCGCACACCGACCGCGGGCGGACGGGAGCGACTACAACTCCCGACATGCCCCGCGGGACCGAGGCCCACAATTCCCATCAGACCTCATGGATGGGCGGGCATGACTACGACTCCCAGCATGCCCCACGAGGCGAGTATTGCCGGCTCCCGCAGGTCCTGCCTTCCGCTTACACGTCATTAAGCCAGCCCCAGATGAACTTTTGCCCTTCTTTGAAATTCCAGAGGGCATGTGTGCCCACAAATCATCTGTCTGGGATCTTGAGAGCGGCGTTGTTAGTGTGTGACTATTGAGCATTTGAAATGTGGCTTGTTCGGGTTGAATTGTGTATGTTCTGCAAATGTAAAATAGCTTGCATTTAGACTTAGTCCGGAAAAAGAGTTGTAAACTAGCTCACTAATATTTTTATATTCTTACGTGTTAGTTATATTTTGTATATATTGGGCTAAATAAGAAATAATAGGTGTTGCTGGGCCTCATATCCCATCTTTTGATCCCCCTTACTAACACAGGAACTTAAAACCAGTGTTCAAAACTTTGTGTTAACGAACTACCACGCTTAACTTAGATCCTAACCTAATTTCTGCTGGAAAATTGTGTATTGCAAAATACTCTGAAGCTGGACGCAGTACAACAGGACGCATTCAATTAGCAGTGTCTACTATGGGCATAAGAGAAAGGCGACAGTACAAAGTACTGTGGTCTTGTGGTTGGTTCAAGGCCCAAGCGCTGATCTGGCCACTGTCCGCAGGCCCTGACCTAGTTACCCCACCATTTAAGCTAGAAATACCTCTTTAACTCACAGGACTTAGCTAGGGGCGATGGCTCCAACTTTTCTAATGAAAAAAGTGGGGAATTGTCTGGATAGAATAATACAGGAAAGGAAATAGATTTCTTAGTTAATTTTAGCCTATGACACCTCATTAGCCATGTTTAATAAACTAGATGTAGATAAAACAGTGAATTGGATTGATGAAATAATCAGTTTGGGGAATGGGTCACAAGAAGGCCCCTGAATAGAAGTGATTTTCATTCTTGTTAAGTGAAAGGTGTGGGAGACCAGCCTCGCACATGACTAAGTTAACTCCGCTGCTGGGCGATGTGGCGTCAGGCACCCATGCTGCTAGACTGTCCTGCTCTTCTAGGGTTCGAGTGACTGTGTCTTGCTACAGCCCCATGGGTGAAGCTACGCTCACTTGTTGCTTTGTAATATAATCCCTTGCCCTGTTTAGGGTAGAATGTTCCATGGAAGTGCCTTGTGTGTGTCCCCTTCTCTTACTGTGCCCTTGAGTGTGGCCTACCCAGATGTCAGTCAACCTGCTGACAGTGGACATCATGAAGATAATCTCAGCCCCCTGAAACCTGATCCCTTGCCTCATTTGAATAGCTTCTCCTCAATAAAAGGGGTCAGCACGTGCTCGCTCTCTCTCTCTCTCTCCCTGCGGACCCTTAAGGTCAGAGGAGCCGTCACAGCGACCCCAAAGAAAAAGGTATTTGTGTCTCTTGTGTAGTTATTTTGTGCAGCCCAATTAGCCCAGTTCAACTGGAGTGACCCCTGAGCCTTTTAGTTGCGAGAACAGAAATCCGGCAGAAAAGGAAACTGAAAAGGGAAAGGAGTAAGAAGAGATGACAAAAGAAAAACAGAAGTCATCAACATAGTGGTCTAAGAAAGTTCATTGTTCCAACCACAGGGTGAGCAGTTTTATGCACTATTAAGAGGGGGAAGGATTTTAACATTGGTAATTGGGTCCTACATTCTTATTTGAAACTTAGGCCCAAAATAAGTTTAGAGAGAAGTGGGTGACAAACTTAACACAGTTATGCATTACTTAGGACAGTGATGTGTTCTGAGAAATGTGTAGCTAGGCAATTGTCAATGTGTCAACATCATGTAGATTAAGATGGCTATGATGGCACTAGGCAAGGCAATCCAAGGGGACAGCATCATATATGTGGTCTGTCATTGACTAAAATGTTGATAGGCCATGCATGAATGTATTTGTTGAGGATCTATGATATACCAGACCCTAGCCAAAAGACTCATATAGGATTATATTTAAAACTCACAGTAACTCTATGATGTAGGTAGGATTTATTATCTCTACTTTAGAGATGAGAAAACTGAAGCTCAGAGAGGTTCAGTCATTGTTCAGATGTACCAAGGTGGTAATTAGTGGATAGTGGAAGAGATTAGAGCAGAGGCAGGAGCTCCTGAGAGGTGTCCCATCCACCAAACACACTGTCAGATAATAAGGAAGAAGGTTAACAAAATCACTAATATTAGGTAGTTTAATATGTATTTTCTTTTTATATAAAGCTGAGTATTTCAAACTATAATGTTTCACACAAACAACTCAGCATATTCTTGTGTTCTGATCTGTACATATGAAATAAAGAGATCAGATTCAAAATCACAAAAACCCCATAGCTTTAACAAGTAGCAGGAGAGGAGGCTTCCTACAAGGAAAGAGACCATGTCCATAGTCCTGATGAAGGAAGAGACTAAGCAATTGTTTGCATTCTTTAAAGGCACCATGTTAAGTGTGTTCTACATGTGCTTTAGTTTTATCCATTTATCCGTCTCATGACACGTAATTAACCCCATTATGCAGATGAGCAAACTGAGATTTAGGAAGATTAAGTTAACTGAGATCAAATTTAGTGGTGAGTTAAGAACAGTTCTTTGAGCCTGGGTCTTTCCAACTACAGAGTTTAAGCCCATAATCACTGTTTTGGCAGTTCCTTGCATGGGGAAGCTGTGTTTTCTGCCAGGGAACTCACCAACTTGGTCTCAACTGACCAGGTCAGGGTGGATGCCAGCCATACCAGTGGCCAGGTGTGACAGCTCAGCTCAAAAGAACCACCCTCTTCTTGAGAGTCCCTATCAAACCGGTCTTCTCTTCTGAAAAAGGTGAGTATAAGACACACACAGGGAGTCAGAAGTTGGTTGCAGAATCAGCAGCTCCAAGCCGACTGGGTCATTCTCTCCTACAGAACACTGTGTTTCAGTAATTGTCAAGGACAATGCAGAAGGATCTGGACTTCAGTGCTCCAGAACTTGACTTGAATTCTGACAAGTATGTTTTATAGAATTGTTTCTTCATGATTCCACCTTTGACTTTTTCCTCAACAGTCCCCACCAACTGACAACCTTTGAAATTTTAAAATAATCTCTTGGTAATATAGAATCAAACTCTTCCCCATTTTGAGTTGTAATCAGAGAAAATAGTATTTCCCACAAAATAAGGTGATAGTCTTTCCTGGTTCACCCAGGAGAGCGCTGTTGTCCCAGCATGAATATTAGCAGTGAGTGCCTCCTCTCCCTCTGGGTGGTATCCCGATTTGTTAGTAAGTTGTATACTCACTTTTTCTGTTAGACCATTAGTTTTCTTGGTGTTAAAGAGCATCTCACAAGGAATGTTGAGACATGTTCTGTGATCAACTAAGTTTTGGAAACACAGGATTGAAAAAAGACAAAGTCCTATACCAAAGGTCTATTGGAAACCTCCTAATATTTAAAAATAGGGCTCTGGTAGAAATCCAAAAAGCACTTGTAAAACAGAGATTTATTGTTTTACAATTATAAGCAATTAATCTATTCAATAAAGGATGTTCCAATTCACCTTTGAGGACAATGTTTCCCTAATTTGGAAAAACCACAAAAATGGGATTTTTTTTTTTTTGGTCTTTTGGTCTATATTCTGTTTTATTCTTAAAAACAAAAATAGAGTTCTGTTGGTAATGGAAAAGTTGTATCTGATTGAACTAAAGCTGTTCATTCATTCAACAAATAGTTGTTGTTAGCACTGCCATTGTGATACAAAAGCAGCCATGGGACAATTCACAAAGGAGTGGACACAGTTGTGTTCAAATAAAACTTTATTTATAAAAACAAGCAGCAGACCAGATATGGTAAGCAAACCCCTGACTTAGATGGGTGGGCTTCAGAAATGGACAAAATAGACAAAAATCCTTGTTCTCATGGGTCTTACATTGTAGAGGAAGGAGACAGGATGACAAAGAAATAATTTAAGTGATAAATAAAAGGTAATAATTACTATGGAGAAAAAGAAACAGAAAAGAAAATTCAAAATCAAATGTTGGGACTGGAAAGTAGTTAGGAAGAGACAGTCTCTCTTAGAAGGTGACATTTTAGCAATCTTTTTTTTTTTTTTTCTTTTTTGGTACCAAGGATTGAACTCAGGGCACTCTGCCATTGAGCCACACCCCCAGCCCTATTTTGTATTTTATTTAGAGACAGGGTCTCACTGAGTTGCTTAGCACCTTGCCATTGTTGAGGCTGGCTTTGAACTCGCAATTCTTCTGCCTGCGCCTCCCATACCTCTGTGATTACAGCACCCAGCTTTAGAAATCTTGAAGGAGGTGAGAATTTCAGTTTTAAAATATGTTCACTGAGTCACACTACTGTCCTCCATAAGTGACAGGGTATCTCTTACTTATCCCCTTAAACCTGGGCTGACTTTAGTGAATCACTTGCAATCTACAGAGTGCAATAAAAGTGATGCTATTTGACTTCTGAGGTTGGGTGGACATAGGCAGTGCAGTCTCCACCTGCTTCTCCGGAATTGCTTCTCTGGAATCTGAGGGAGCCAGATGCTGTGTTAGAAGACCAGTCTTCTGGGAACTTCCCATTGAAGAAGCCATGTCAACAGCCCAGTGGAACTCCAGCCAACCTATGTCTCCTCTGCCAGTCACATCATTGCAACATAATGGACGTCTGCCTGGACAAGCCATCATATGAGGACAGCCTCAGCTGAACCCTGACCACAGTTGTGTGTGCAATCCTTGATGAAACCTGCCCTGGAGATACTTCTTTCTATTCCCAAACCACAAAATTGTGACCAAAATCAAATGGTTGTTTTAAGCTACTAAGAGTCAAGATCATTTGGTAGTCAGAAAGGCATCTGGAATGGAAACTGGGTACCGCAAGTGGGATGAAGAGAATGTACTGTGTCAGATTGGATTTTCCAAAGATAAC